CTTGTGTGCGCATGTATGCATGTGTATTTGTCTATACGGGTATAAATATGGGGTCATCAGTGCCTGGGTGTGCATGTGGAGGTGCTCTATCTGACTACTCTGTCTGAAAGAGAAGTGTTATCACTCTCTAAGTCTTTTCTGCTTTGTTTTTCTCCGAGACCCCTTTCACCACCTGCCATTATATTGAACGTTCATAAGTTATCAGTTTATTGAATCTCCACCACTAGATGTCAGCTCTATGAGGACAAGGCCCTGTGTAGTATATTCACTGGTATATATGTACCCGCAACACCCAGAGGAGTGCCTGGCACACAGCACATGTGTGGACAGGAGATCGAGAAACCTGTGGGATGGATAGATGGGTGAGTGGTTGGTGGATGGATGGATGGATGGATGGATGGATGGATGAGTGAATTAGCTGGGTAGACAGATGAATGAATGGATGTCTGCTGACAAATGCATGCATGCAGGTCTTGATTCTGGAAGACATGTCAGGCTTCTTTGTTGTACGCTCTTTCCAGGAAGATCTAGGAAACCCCATACACCAGAAGCTGCAGAGCCCATGGGTATGAGGGAAAGCTCTGGGAGTTGAATCCTTCTAGAGACCTGGGACCAGCTGTTGGACTTGTGATCAGAGTCCTGCCCAGGGTCACTTCATGCAGGGGTGGTGGGTTGAGGACTAGGGAACTGGGAGTGAGGAGGGGAGAGGCTGCCCTAACAGGATGGTACACTTTGGAACTCAGGGACGGGGACCCCCACAGCTGTTGACTTAGTAGTAAAGCCCTACTTGAGGCCAGATCTGAGCTGCCAGAGACCATATGGGTCTCTTCTAGGAGGGGTGTTAAGACCCCTATCACATCCTGGGGACCCAGTGGGCAACCATACCCCCTAGCTTGAGGGTTGAGCAGGAAGCTAGGGAGGGAAAGCAAACCTGAGCCAGGTCTGTGTAGAGACTTGAGCTGAGATGGTCCTGTCACTTCTGGAGAAGGAGAAGGGCTGCCCTCCACTTCCCATTCCTCCCTGTCTGCGCTGAGCACACACTGTCCCTTCTGCCTGTTTCATAACCCACCATGTGACCATAAGCTCACCAATTGTATGTATATTTATCCTTGTACCATTCCTCGGTGGACCTGTTCATCTACTATTCCTTCCCTCATCTGTCAGTCTGTCTTTCCATCTACCCATCTATGCATCCTTATCAATATTGTCATCATTATACTAGCAAGTAAGATGTCCTCACAGCTACCCTCTGAGGAAAATACTATTACTACCCCCATTTCACAGATTAGATGAGGAAATGGCACAGAGAGCTTAAGTGACTTCACTAAGAACACACAGCTAATAAGTAACAGAGCTGTCAGACTCGACAAGCCGAGCTCTTAACCTCTCAGTCTGTTTGTCTATCCATCTATGCACTCTCATGGTTGTTCATTCAATCCCTTCACTCACCTGTCACTGTCCATCAAGTGACCCATCCATCCATTGCTGTCGCCCATCCATCCTGAAGGTAATGCAGTTAGAGAACCAGGGGCCCTGAGGGGAGAGAAGGCCTGAACTGCCCATCTGGCTGGGGGTGGGGGCTGAAAGGGGGGTAGGGTGGGCTGCCCTAGGCTGGGCAGGGCTGCACGGGGCTAGAGAGAATTAGCCCAGTGACTGCCAGGATCATCTAATTAGGAATGCTAGTGATAAGCAGATAGGAATCCGGGGTGATTAGAATCCTTTTAAAAAGCCACTCCATTAATTACAAAGACAGAGAGGGGCCTCTGGCTGCTCAGAATACCAATTGGTGGCCTAATTGGCCTCTATCAGCTCACCCTGGGGGAGGGTTCCTGGGACTGCTGTGTGATCTTGGCTGTGCCCTGCCCTCTCTGGTCCTCCCCGTGCAGGCCAGGCTCTGCCTGAGATCACCTGGTCACTCAAGGTCTTCTCTCTCCTCAGGCCTGGCTCAGGGGCTGGCTTTAGGGACATCAAAGGTCAGAGACCTGGGAGGCTAGGCTGGCTCCCCAGAGCAGAGGAAGTCCTGAAGGAGGAGTTTCACTACCCCATTGACAAATGAGGACAGAGTGTTGGAGAGGGAAGTTGGCCTATCAGCATGTGAGAGACAAGACTGTGGGGGCCTGAGCTAATGCTCATCCCTGGTCCGCCTATTTCTCCATCTTTGTAACAGGCGAAATCACCAGGCTCCACACCTTTCTTGCCCCATGCCCACCTGGGGAACTGGGAGGGCTTTCTGTCTCCAGGGCACATTTAGCAGTGAGGAGCTGGGCTCTGGGACAGCTCTGACCCAAGGGATTTATGATGGGGTCTCCAGCCCTGTCTTCACCCCAGCTGCTTCCTACAGATCCACCCCAGGACAAGGCCTCAGGCTAGGCACAGGGCCTGGGCATAGAGCAGGACAGGGAACCTGCCAATGGGCTCTGGAACAGCAGCGACTAGAAGAAAATGCCTCATTGGAAAGACAGAGGTGGTCAGCACTGGTGTCTCAGGCAAGGAGGCAAGAGGGGGAGCCTGGGTAGGAGGAAGCATCTGTAGGTTACTTGGGCACCTCATCATTCGGGTTCCTTGTCTATTAACATTGCTGTAGCCACCCACATACTGTCCTAATTACACTGCTATGGCACCCTCAGGCTTCACTTGTAGTGATGCTGTTGTCATCAACCCTCTTACCAATATCACATTACCCAGTCACCATCACCATCACCATACCATCATTCCTACCTCCATCATCACCACCATTACTATTTAAAAAAATATATTTTATTGATTTTGTACAGAGAGGAAGAGAGAGGGATAGAGAGTTAGAAACATCGATGAGAATCATTGATCAGCTGCCTCTTGCACACCCCCTACTGGGGATGTGCCCACAACCAATGTACATGCCCTTGACCGGAATCAAACCCGGGACCTTTCAGTCCACAGGCCGATGCTCTATCCATTGAGCCAAACCAGTTTCGGCACCATCATTACTATTACCATCACCATTACTATGGTATCACCATCACATTGCTTATATCACTATTATCTCACTATCAATCCCATCACCCCGTCACATCCTGCCACGGACATCATCTTCATTACCTCAACTAGTATCACCATTGCTAGGACCATCATCATAACTACAATCACCAGCACTTCTATCACTGCTACCACCATCCCACCTCTGATATTACCTCCATTATTACCACCATCTTTACCACTCTACTACTGGCTGCATTTCTGTCATTATCATCACCATGTCTACCTCTACTAGTATGCATATTACCATGAGCAGAAATACACCCATCACTGTCATCATTATCACCACCATCATTTTCATTACACCACCTTCCGTATGACTACCATCATCATCTCCTCTATCACCACCACCACCACCACCACATCTACCTCAGCCAGCTAACCATTACCTCTAGCTCAACCATGACAACCATCGCCTCCACCTCCAACACCACCTTTGACATCACACTATTACCACCTGCATCATCATCATCATCATTATCACCATGTCCATGTCCACCACTCGCACCACCTTCATCTGAGCAACTGTCTTTATGACACATATACATGATCACTACTGTCACTGCCACCATAAGTTACTGTCTCCACCAACATCCTCACCCCAGGGTCACCATTACCTTCACTAGCACCTCTTTTGCCATTGTCAACTCCACTATCACCACAGCCTTCACACCCTAATGACTTCTTCTGTTTCAATGATGCCTTATCTGTCACCATGCATACCTCACTTTGTCCTCTCCCTACAGTCACCATAGTCAACAACTGCACTACTCCCAATGTCATTGTCATGGAGAATTATGCGGGTTGGTATCTTTCTCCAGTTTCAATAGACAGGCTGGTCAAGAACAGATTCTAACTATAGTGGCAGAAATATAGTTATAAAAATGTAGAAATATTTTCTTTTAAGCCCAGTGAAGTTATTCTGTCATTCATTTCCTCTACCAAGCGACATGACTACATGTGTTAGTAGTCAGTGTGGGCAGATGGTAAGGTATGTGGGGTGATAACATTTATCTCATTTGTAAAGTGTCTCCAGATTCTACTTTCATTCCTCCTGGCATCTGGAATTGGTGAGAACATGTTTGCAAAGTGTCTCCAGATCCTACTTTCATTCCTGAATGTGCCTCTACTGGGGCTGGGAACCTGCAACCCAGGTACATGTTCTTGATAGGGAATCAAACCCTTGACCTTTCAGTCTGCAGGCTGAGGCTCTAACCCCTGAGAAAAACTAGCCAGGGTGAAATGCTTCTTTTGATTTGCTGTCCACTAGCCTCAGAAAGCCCTGGGTTTACATCTCCTTCTCTCTCACAGACATACTCTGTGACCTTGAGTATGTTGCTGCATGACTCTGAGCTTCAGTCATTCAATAAGTTGAACTGATTGCCTGTCTTTGTGGAGCTTACCTTTGAGGATCTGATAGGATAATGAGGCCCAATAAGAGTGAACTCCTGCCCCTATCCTGCCTGAACCTCCACCTTGGGACCCCTCAACCCATACCAACAACCCAGCCATTGACCCTGTCCCAGGAAGCCCTCACTCCCTTCCTTTGACCAACATCACTGACCTTTGCTGCCCACGTGGGCCCAGAATCCAAGTGGCTGATTCCGGGCTCAGCCAACATGCCCGGTGTCACTGGGTCCAGAGCTGGGGGTGGATCTGCCCCGCCCAGGGGCTGATGTCACAAAGAGTCTGGTCTCAGCTCTGCTGGGGACCCTGCCCCTGCCTGGCCCCACATTGGCAGTGGGGCAGATCCACCCCTTCCCCCCACCCCTTTCAGTGGAGGTGTCCACCTGTCCTTGAAAACTGGTACTATGAAAGGGTAAACTCGCTGGGCAGAGCCACGCCCAGAGCCAGCAAGACCCCTGCTGAGGGACACACACACACACACACGCCAGCTGTCGCCTCCTCCACACCCACCCTAATCCCCTGGGCCCCTGGGCCCACGTCACCTTCTCACCCGCCTCCGCCCCAACTCCCCCTTCAGCATGGTTAACTACTACGACGTGCTGGGGGTACAGTCCAGTGCCAGCCCGGAGGACATCAAGAAGGCCTACCGAAAGCTGGCCTTGCGCTGGCACCCCGACAAGAACCCCAATAACAAGGAGGAGGCTGAGAAGAAGTTCAAGCAGGTGTCCCAGGCCTACGAGGTCCTGTCCGACTCCAAGAAGCGCTCTCTATACGACCGGGCGGGCTGTGACAGCTGCGGGGCCGGTGGCGGTGGCGGGGCCAGCACCCCTTACAACAGCCCCTTCGACAGCGGCTACACCTTCCGGAACCCCGAGGACATCTTCCGCGAGTTTTTTGGCGGCAGGGATCCTTTCTCCTTTGACTTCTGGGTCGCCCCCTTCAACAGTGACCGTGGAGGCCAGGGCCATGGCCTGAGGGGCGCCTTCTCCAACGGCTTCGGTGAGTTCCCTGCCTTCATGGAGGCCTTCTCCGCCTTCGACAATCTGGGCCGCGGGGGGACCGCTAGCCGCACCACCTTCTCATCCACCTCCTTTGGGGGCTCTGGCAGCTCAGGGTTCAAGTCAGTGATGTCATCCACCGAGTTGGTGAATGGACACAGGGTCACCACCAAGCGCATCGTGGAGAACGGGCAGGAGCGTGTGGAAGTGCAAGAGGATGGGCAGCTCAAGTCGTTGACCATCAATGGCAAGGAGCAGCTTAAACGAGTGGACAGCAAGTAACCGTGGCCCCCCAGACCCTGTACCCACCGCCTGACCGCACCCACCGCCTGACCGCACCCGCAGGCTCATGGTTAATAAATGTCCCAAGTGAGTGCACCGAATGAGCTGGCCTGGCTTTGGGGGTGGTGGGCATCCATTGTGGACCTACCCAGCACGGGCTCCAGCACAAATGGATGTGCAGAGGGGCCTGGGCCTCAGGGCTGTGGGCACTGCCTCCCAAAGCCCATTGCTAGGGGCAGTGAGGGGAGGATGCAGGGGTGGCTCTGCAGGTGATTTGGGATCTCTCATCTGTATTGTGTCAGTTGGTAAATGCCATGACCATCGATCCATCTCAATCCAATCTTGTGTTCCACACCTACTATTTAAAAAAAAATAAAAGTTTGTATTGATTTCAGAGAGGAAGGGAGAGGAAGAGAGAGATAGAAACATCAATGATGAGAAGAATCATTGATTGGCTGCCTCTTGCATGCCCCACACTGGGGCTCCAGCCTGCAACCCAGGCATGTGCCCTGACGGTGAATCGAACTGTAACCTCCTGGTTCATAGATCGATGCTCAACCATTGAGCCACGTTGGCCGGGCTCCACGCCTACTATAAACACCAGTGTGGCCACATCATCCTCACCGGGGTTTGGCCCCGACTTCCGGCCCCTGCTCCTCACAGGGATTCTTCATGGTGTGGTTGTTGTGCTAATACCCACGAAGCATCAGGTTACCTGCCTTGCTTTAAGCCTTCAGTGGCACCCTTGACTCTAAGCATGAAGACCTCAGGCTTCATCCTCATCACGAGGCTCTGGGGACCTGGCCTGGCCCACCTTCCTGGTCTCACCTCCCATCACCCCTCACTCTCTGAACCGCACCCATCCCGGCCTTGCCTCTGTCCCTTTATTGCACCCGACTCCTGAGAGCCTCAGGGCTGCTCTCCCATGTGAATGTCCACTTATCCTCAGGCCTTTGCTCAAGCACCACTTCTTTGAGGAGTCCTGCCCTGACACCTCTGTTCTGAATGAGCTCCCACCTGCCTGCTCTGCTTTCCAAAGCTCCTCACCTGCTTCTCCAAGGCTCTCGTCTGTGTTAGATTGCGCCTCTTGGCCACTCTGAGGAGCTCGGGGGCAGGGCCTGCACCTGCTGTCCCTCACTGTGTCCCCAGCCTCTCGGGCAATGCCTGGCACCGAGGGGCTGGCACATATTTGTTGGGAGAATAAATGTTTCTGGGTGTGCGGTGGGGGTGTGAGTGTAGTGTGGTGTGTGCAAGTGTGTGTGATGTGATATGTGGGGTGGCGACATGTTTGATGTGGTGTGTGTCTTATGTGTGATGTGGTATGAGCCGGAGTGTGGGATGTATCAGTGGCGTGTGTGTGATGTGGTATGGGGGTTTGGTGTGTGAAGTGGTGTGTGTGAGTGTGGTGTGTGTCTGTGTGTATGTGGTGTGTGCACAGTGTGTGCATGGGTATGGCATGTATGTGGTGAGGTTGTGTGAGTGTGGTGTGGTATGTGGGGGCCCATGTGTGTGAGTATTGGGTGTTGGGGCACATGTGATGACTGCAGGAAGGACAAATAAAGGCCTCCTGTTGGGAGGAAGTTGGTGCCAGAGCAGGAGATGGGTCAGGAGCTCAGACCCCAGACACTGTGGGATGGAGGCTCGTGCTGCCTCAGTGGCATCTGGGGCCTAAGGGAGAGCAGCCCTCAGAGTCAGGGCGGGCTCTGGGTGTGACTCTCTAGTGTGGGCGCTGAGGCGGTGGTGGGCATCTTTTGAGCAGTTGTCGGGCTGTGGCAGGGGACCCAGGTACACGGGAGAGTTCACAGGAACATGGGCTGCTGTGGGCAGACAGACGGTGGGCATCTGGGAGAACTTCTGGTGGGTATTCTGAGGACTGGGACCCTCTTATTGGACTTCCCTGATAATGCCCACATGACCCTATGTGGGCGGGGTCTGTGTCAAGTGTGTGAGCACTATGCACACACCTGACTGTGTATGTGCAGCATGGAGCAGTGGAGGGCAGTTTGATTACAGTCTGCAGTACCCCAAAACCATAAACTCCTCAAAAACAGGAGCTCTGTTTTCCTCATTGCTGACCCCAGCACCTGGCTCAGTGGTTGTGAGAAGGTGTGTGTGTGTGGGGGGGGGGGAGGACCCTGCTTGTAGACATGCCTATGAGCCTGGATGAGGTCTTATACCAGGGCCCAGGGCCTGTCCTCAGCATTGTATCCTCATTGAAAAAGCCACCAAAGGCACAGACCTCACTCTCTGACGCACTCAGCTGGGAGGGGAGCAGATCCAAGAGCTGTTGCCCAATTAGACATAAGAAGATGCCCTGTGCTGAAAACTTGTAAGTAATTTTGCTTTAAAGAGATGAAAGAAGTTAGGCTGGGAGCCCTGGCTGGGCCCAAGCTTTGTGTGACTAGAAGGTGCTAATGAAAAAGCACCTGGGAAGTCTCACATGACCTCAGGGAAGAGGAAAGGTTAACTGTTCAGAACTTCTGCTCCCACTTTTGAGTTGGGCTCCAGGTCCTGCCCTGGGGAAGGGACGGGGGCGTGGGCAGCCTGGGATGGGGAGGCAGCTTGGAGAAAGGCAGCCTCGTGGACTCCAGTTGCTGTCCCTAAGTCTTTGCAGGGCTGTCTCAGGCCAGGAGAGCAGATGGGTCTGAGGCTCAGAGATCAGACTGAGGACCCCTAAGAGGGGTGGGTGTCACAAGGTCCTGTGGAAGCAGAGCTTTCTCTGAGTCAGAGCAAGGCAGACTCCCCGAGGGCAAGTGAGCTTCTTGTCGGGAAGGGGTGCTGGTGCTGAAGGTGGGGAAGCTGTGTTCTGATTACCTGTGAGCCTACTTTGTGACAGTCTTTTAAAACTCTATATTTTAAAGTATATACGTATGTATATTTAAATGTTTTTACTGATTTATTTCTTTTTTGAGAGAGAAACATCAATGTGATAGAGACACATCAATCAGTTGCCTCCTATATGCACCCCAACCAGGGATTGAACCCACAACCTGGGTATGTGTCCTGACCGGGAAGGGAACTGGCAACAAGACAACACTCAACCAACTGAGCCACACACCAGCCAGGGCTTAAAGCTCATTTTTATCTTGAAACAATCTCAAACTCAGATATGTGTCAGGCACTTTTAATTCAATGCAATTTAGGAACTATGTATTGACCCTGGGGACACAGCAATGGGCAAAGTTAGATTCCTGTTGTGGAGCTGACACTGTTGGGAAGCAGATAACAAACAGGTGTGCAGGCTATTGTCTCCAGTAGCAGGGAATGTGAGAGAGGAAATGCAGTCAGGTGAGCTGATGGAGAAGGATGGGACCGGGGATGGGCAGGGGAGTTTTAAGTCAGGTGGTCCCGGAAGGCCTCTCTGAGGGGGTGGCATTTATCAGTATCTGCAGTGAATGTGATGCCATGGACCACGTAGCTATAGGGGGGGGGGGGGGGAGCAATCCAGGCCGAGGGAACAGCAAGTGTGAAGACCCTGAGGCAGGAAAAGGCCTGCCCTTTTTTTTTTTTCTTTTTTTTTTTCCCTTCCCTCCCACGTATCCCCTCCCTCCCCAGAGTTTTATGTCCATTGGTTGTACTTATATGCATGTATACAAGTCCTTGGGTTGATTTATTGTCTCCCCCAGACCCTCCTCCCCTCCCCGTTGTAATTTGACAATCTGCTTGTTGCTTTACTGTCTCTATATCTATCTTTTGGTTCATCAGTTTATAATGATCTTTATTATCCACAAATGAGTGGGGTCATGTGGTGTTTCTCTTTCATTGACTGGCTTATTTCACTCAGCATGATGTTCTCCAATTCCATCCAGGTTGCTGCAAATGATGAGAATTCCTTCTTTTTTATGGCAGCATAGTATTCCATTGTGTAGATGTACCAAAGTTTTCGGATCCAATCATCTGCTGAGGGCACCTAGGCTGTTTCCAGATTCTGGCTATTGTAGGTTGTGCTGCTATGAACATAGGGGTGCTTATATCCTTTCTGACTGGTGTTTCTAGTTCCTTGGGATATATTCCTAGAAGTGGGATTACTGGGTCAAATGGGAGTTCCATTCTCAGGTTTTTGAGGAAACTCCACACTGTTCTCCACAGTGGTTGCACCAGTCTGCATTCCCACCAGCAGTGCACGAGGGTTCCTTTTTCTCCGCAACCTCGCCCACACTTGTCGTTTGTTGATTTGTTGATGTTAGGCCTGCCCTTTTTGAGGAAAAGAAAAGAGGCCATTGAGGTAGATACACACAGTTCACTGTAATGCCCACAACTCTCCCAGCCTGGGGTCACTGGCCCATGTTACACAACTGGAAACGGAGGCAAGTGGCTGAGCCAGAATTTCATCCAATTTATCGACTCCAAAGGATTTGTCTTCAAAATGTTAATAATGATAATAAATAACTGCAGCAACAGCTGAGGTAGGTGTGCCCATGGGAGTGTGTGTGTGTGTGTGTGTGTGTGTGTGTGTGTGTGTGAAGGCTCAGTATGCTGGCAAGTCCTTGTTTCTTGGGGGCTGGAGTGGAGTCAGAAAAGGAGGTGATTCCAGGTTTCCGGGTTGAAGCTGATTGTGACAGGGTCTCTGTCACTCCTTAGCTTCTCAGGCTGGGAAGAGAGGCGTGTGGGCATGACCAGAAAAGATGATGGGAGTGCCATTCGGCGGGGACCTAACCAGATTTTGCTCAACCCTGCAAGGCAGCTCCTAGCCCAGTGTCTGGCATGTAGTAGGTGTCCAATAAGTAATGGGAAGTGAAAGAAAATGGGAGCAGACTGTTTTAGGGAATGACAAAAAGCGGGGGGTATGCTCAGAGGACAACCTCTGGAGCTCAGATGGGAGAAGATGCTGGAAGGCCTTGAACCTGGGGGGAGGCTGAAGCTTGACCCAGAGAGACCTGGGGAGGAATCCATCCCATGTATATGTGTAGAGCTGGGATGAACACCTAGGGTGGCCCAGAGGTGGGCCTGGTGTTGGTTCTCCCAGGGGAGCTTGTTAAAGGCTTCTTCTAGGAAGCCAA